CTTCTGGGCCATCCACACAGACACTTCTGGGCCATCCACTGAACACTTCTGAGCATCCACACAGACACTTGACTTTCTGGGCCATCCAACCGAACCTCTGGGCCATCCACAGACACTTCTGGGCCATCCACACAGACACTTCTGGGCCATCCACACAGACACTCTGGGCCATCCACACAGACACTTCTGGGCCATCCACTGGCCATCCGAACACTTCTGGGCCATCCACACAGACATCCTCTGGGCCATCCACAGAACACTCTGGGCCATCCGAACCTTCTGGGCCATCCACACAGACACTTGACTTTCTGGGCCATCCACACACAGACCTGGGCCATCCACTTGCTTCTGGGCCATCCCTGAACACTTCTGGGCCATCCACAGACACTTCTGGGCCATCCACACCACTATGGGCCATCCACACAGACACTTCTCCGCCATCCACACAGACACTTACTTCTGGGCCATCCACACAGACACTTCTGGGCCATCCACACAGACACTTCTGGGCCATCCACACAAGACACTTGACTTTCTGGGCCATCACACAGACACTTCTGGGCCATCCACACAGACACTTCTGGGCCATCCACACAGACCTTGGGCCATCCACACAGACACTTCTGGGCCATCCCCAGAACTCTGGCCATCCACACTTCATGGGCCATCCACAGACACTTCTGGGCCATCCACACAGACACTTGACTTCTGGGCCATCCACGAACACTTCTGGGCCATCCACACAGAGACACTTCTGGGCCATCCACAGACACTTCTGGGCTCACGCTTCTGGGCATCCACACAGACACTCTGGGCCATCCACACAGACACTTCTGGGCCATCCACACAGACACTTCTGGGCCATCCACACAGACACTTCTGGGCCATCCACACAGACACTTCTGGGCCATCCACACAGACACTTCTGGGCCATCCACAGACACTTCTGGGCCATCCACAGACACTCTGAGCCCATCTACACTTCTGGGCCATCCACAGACACTTCTGGGCCATCCCACAGACACTTCTGGGCCATCCACACAGACACTTCTGGGCCATCCACACAGACACTTCTGGGCCATCCACACAGACACTTCTGGGCCATCCACACGGATACACTTCTGGGCCATCCACACACTTCTGGGCCATCCACACAGACACTTCTGGGCCATCCACACAGACACTTCTGGGCCATCCACACAGCACTTCTTGGGCCATCCACGAACACTTCTGGGCCATCCGAACTTCTGGGCCATCCACACAGACACTTCTGGGCCATCCACACAGACACTTCTGGGCCATCCACACAGACACTTCTGGGCCATCCACACGAACACTTCTGGGCCATCCCACAGACACTTGCTTCTGGGCCATCCACACAACACTTCTGGGCCATCCACACAGACACTTCTGGGCCATCCACACACAGACACTTCTGGGCCATCCACACAGACACTTCTGGGCCATCCACAGACACTTCTGGGCCATCCACACAGACACTTCTGGGCCATCCCACAGAACACTTCTGGGCCATCCACACAACTTCTGGGCCATCCACACAGACACTTCTGGGCCATCCACACAGACACTTCTGGGCCATCACACACTTCTGGGCCATCCACACAGACACTTGACTTTCTGGGCCATCCACACGAACCTTCTGGGCCATCCACCAGAACACTTCTGGCCATCCACACGACACTTCTGGGCCATCCACCAGACACTTCTGGGCCATCCACACAGACACTTCTGGGCCATCCACAGAACACTTCTGGGCCATCCACACAGACACTTCTGGGCCATCCACTGAACACTTCTGGGCCATCCACACAGACACTTCTGGGCCATCCACACAGACACTTCTGGGCCATCCACACAGACACTTCTGGGCCATCCACACAGACACTTCTGGGCCATCCACAGACACTTCTGGGCCATCCACACAGACACTTCTGGGCCATCCACTGAACACTTCTGGGCCATCCACAGACACTTCTGGGCCATCATCTGGCATCCACACAGACACTTCTGGGCCATCCACACAGACACTTCTGGGCCATCCACACAGACACTTCTGGGCCATCCACACACTTCTGGGCCATCCACACAGACACTTCTGGGCCATCCACACAGACATCGGCCATCCACACAGACACTTCTGGGCCATCCACACAGACACTTCTGGGCCATCCACAGACACTTCTGGGCCATCCACACAGACACTTCTGGGCCATCCACACAGACACTTCTGGGCCATCCACTGAACACTTCTGGGCCATCCACACAGACACCTCTGGGCCATCCACACAGACACTTCCTGGGCCATCACACAGACACTTCTGGGCCATCCACACAGACACTTCTGGGCCATCCACACAGACACTTCTGGGCCATCCACACGAACACTTCTGGGCCATCCACACAGACACTTCTGGGCCATCCACACAGACACTTCTGGGCATCCCTGACTTCTGGCATCCACACGACACTTCTGGGCCATCCACACAGACACTTCCTGGGCCATCCACACAGACACTTCTGGGCCATCCCACTGAACACTTCTGGGCCATCCACAGACACTTCTGGGCCTCCCACAGACACTCTGGGCCATCACAGAACTCTGGGCCATCCACAGACACTTCTGGGCCATCCACACAGACACTTCTGGGCCATCCACAGACACTTCTGGGCCATCGAACACTCTGGGCCATCCACACAGACACTTCTGGGCCATCCACACAGACACTTCTGGGCCATCCACACAGACACTTCTGGGCCATCCACCAGACACTTCTGGGCCATCCACACAGACACTTCTGGGCCATCCACCAGACCTTCTGGGCCATCCACACAGACACTTCTGGGCCATCCACACAGACACTTCTGGGCCATCCACACAGACACTTCTGGCCATCCACACAGACACTTCTGGGCCATCACACAGACACTTCTGGACCATCCACACAGACACTTCTGGACCATCCACACAGACACTTCACTTTCTCAGGAGTGACTAGTAGCAACACCACAACACAGGTGACGCCTCACACCCATTGTCCAGTGGGGTCAAGCGGCGATAGTGTCTGATCATGTTTGGCATCACTTGAGGTGTTTCTTGTACTTGAGTGAAAGGGATTGTGGACCTATACTGCTATTATTATCATTATCATCATCATTATCATTATCCCCAGGCTAAGAACTCTGGTAACAAAGAAACTATCCGTCGTGGAGCTCTCATGAAGATGCTTCTGAACTGCGCCCAGACCTTACCACTCTGGATTGGCAATTCCGGAGAGAAGCCGCCTGCTCTGTGCGGCGCCGTACCACCCGAACAGAACTATGTGGCTAAGGTAATTAACGTGAGTCGGTCGTATACTTGGTCGTTTGAGGTGAATAAGCCATGGGATTGGTTCGTAGGATACAGTGCATGGTTAACTTAGAAAGGGGGGGGAGGGGTACAAAATGATTAGGTAGGTTACAGTTTGATACAGGAATTCTTAACTACAAGCCGGGATAAATTACATTGTTACAGTGAGATAATTTCTGTATTGTACTGTAATTTTTAACTTCCTGTAAATCGTTCCCCTAAGTTTAACGATGTAATTGCCTGTATTGTAATGGCCAGTACAGGTGATTGACATGATAGATTACAGTTTGGTACAGGTATTGTAATTAGTGTGATACAGTGTTCTAATTACAGCTTGATACAGGTGTCGTAATTACAGCTTGATACAGGTGTTCTAATTACAGCTTGATACAGGTGTTCTAATTACAGCTTGATACAGGTGTTCTAATTACAGCTTGATACAGGTGTCGTAATTACAGCTTGATACAGGTGTCGTAATTACAGCTTGATACAGGTGTCATAATTACAGTACAGTATTTCCACCTCTGTACCACCACCCCACAGGTCAACGACATGGTAGCTTGTCTCGTACGGGGCAGCGAGGGAGAGGACAATTGGATCCTAGCCGAGGTCGTTAGCTACAACACAACGACCAATAAATACGAGGTGGACGACATCGACGAGGAACAGAAGGAACGACACACACTCAGCCGTCGACGAGTCTATCCTCTCCCGTTGATGAGGGCTAATCCTGAAGTCAATCCTGAGGCACTTTACCCTAAAGGCTCCATTGGTGAGTAGTTTGGTTAGGTTAGGATAGGGTTGGGCTAGGGTAGGGTTGGGTTAGGGTAGGTTAGGTTAGGTTAGGGTAGTTTAGTTACAATTACATCATATGGCCCTGTGTCTTAACTAGATGATAATTCTTTAATGTCATTTCTCAACAGTCATGGCCCTCATTCTAAACCACATGGCCCTCATCCTAAATCACATGGCCCTGTCCTTAAACTACATGACCTTCTTCCCAAACCACATGGCCTTATATTCCCACATGGCCCTCTTCCTAAATCACATGGCCCTGTCCTTAAACTACATGACCTTCTCAAATCACATGGCATTATCCTATACCACATGGCCTTCACCCCACCCTACATGACTCTATAACCCACATGACCTCTATCCACCTCACATGACCTCTATCCACCTCACATGACCTCTATCCACCTCACATGACCTCTAACCACCCCATAGTTGATAATAAATCTCTCTTCTCATCTCCTCCCGACAGTAATGGCTCTCTACCCTCAAACGACGTGCTTCTACAAGGCCGTCATTAACCGCCTGCCCACTCTGGCCACCGAGGAATATGAGGTACTGTTCGAGGACCCCACCTATGCCGATGGCTACTCCCCCCCGCTGATGGTGGCTCAGAGATACGTCATTCAGATCAAGGAGGTTAGCAAGAAGAAGTGAAGCGTCGTCAAGCGTTCGGGGTCGTGGAGGTGATTAGTGAAGCGTTTTGGAGTTGTTACAGTGATTAGTGATGCGTTTTGGAGTTGTTACAGTGATTAGTGAAGCGTTTTGGAGTTGTTACAGTGATTAGTGATGCGTTTTGGAGTTGTTACAGTGATTAGTGAAGCGTTTTGGAGACTTTGTGGAGGTGATTAGTGGTGTGGTTTGGGGTCGTGGAGGTGATTAGTGAAGCATTTTGGAGTTGTTACAGTGATTAGTGAAGCGTTTTGGAGACTTTGTGGAGGCGATTAGTGGTGTGGTTTGGGGTCGTGGAGGTGATTAGTGAAGCATTTTGGAGTTGTTACAGTGATTAGTGATGCGTTTTGGAGACTTTGTGGAGGTGATAGTGAAGCGTTTGGGGTCTTGAAGGTGATTAGTGAAGCATTTTGGAGTTGTTACAGTGATTAGTGATGCGTTTTGGAGACTTTGTGGAGGTGATAGTGAAGCATTTGGGGTCTTGAAGGTGATTAGTGAAGCATTTTGGAGTTGTTACAGTGATTAGTGATGCGTTTTGGAGACTTTGTGGAGGCGATAGTGAAGCATTTGAGGTCATTGAGATTACATTGACGCGTTTGGTTGATCCGATGGAGTTTGCTTACGTCGCGTGCTGAATTATTGTCATGGCGACCGCAGACGTTGATTCTGTTTATTTATACGGCGCGCAAGACGAGGTCGTTAGGCGTGTGTGTTTTATGAGTTTTTTCCCGTATTCGAGTTTGAGATCTAGTATAATTAGTGCCCCTCCCAAGTGCTCACCTGAAGATTAGATTCCCCAAGTGCTCACCTGAAGATTAGTTCCCCCACAGTACTCACCTGAAGAACCACCCTCCCACCTAGTTTAACCACCCCTCTAACTATCTACTGGTGATAGGGTGACTAATTTCCAGGTCACACGTAAACACTAGAATGACCTAATCACCCCGTTCGCGAAATAGCATGAGTGAATGACTCGTCGAACTAACACATGCAGAATACACAAGCAAAACGAATCCAAAAAGTTAAATTCTCTGCTTGTCGAGGAATCCAAAATGACTACAGCCCTAAATAACGTTGTAAAATGATAAAATACAGTACAGTAATTGTATCTACAGTGAACATATGTAGAATTTGTAAATATGTGTTTGGGTTACTGTATACTGTGTAACTGAAATACAGTACTGTAGCTTGACTGTACCTACATAAACTTTGAAATATATTAATGTGGGAACTGAAATATCACTGTAAGCTAAAATACAGTACTGTAGCTTGACTGTACCTACATAAACTTTGAAATATGTTAATGTGGGAACTGAAATACCACTGTAAGCTAAAATACAGTACTGTAGCTTGACTGTACCTACATAAACTTTGAAATATGTTAATGTGGGAACTGAAATACCACTGTAAGCTAAAATACAGTACTGTAGCTTGACTGTATCTACATAAACTTTGAAATTTGTTAATGTGGGAACTGAAATATCACTGTAAGCTAAAATACAGTACTGTAGCTTGACTGTACCTACATAAACTTTGAAATATATTAATGTGGGAACTGAAATACCACTGTAAGCTGAAATACAGTACTGTAGCTTGACTGTACCTATATAAACTTTGAAATATGTTAATGGGAACTGAAATACCACTGTAAGCTAAAATACAGTACTGTAGCTTGACTGTACCTACATAAACTTTGAAATTTGCTGATGTGGGAACTGAAATACCACTGTAAGCTAAAATACAGTACTGTAGCTTGACTGTACCTACATAAACTTTGAAATTTGTTAATGTGGGAACTGAAATACCACTGTAAGCTAAAATACAGTACTGTAGCTTGACTGTGCCTACATAAACTTTGAAATATGTTAATGTGGGAACTGAAATACCACTGTAAGCTAAAATACAGTACTGTAGCTTGACTGTATCTACATAAACTTTGAAATTTGTTAATGTGGGAACTGAAATATCACTGTAAGCTAAAATACAGTACTGTAGCTTGACTGTACCTACATAAACTTTGAAATATGTTAATGTGGGAACTGAAATACTACTGTAAGCTGAAATACAGTACTGTAGCTTGACTGTACCTACATAAACTTTGAAATATGTTAATGTGGGAACTGAAATACTACTGTAAGCTGAAATACAGTACTGTAGCTTGACTGTACCTACAAAATAGTACATAGGCCTAATTTTTAGTACAATATCAGATTGAAAAAAGCATTACAAAATATAAGGAAATATTTTAACTTGTACAAAACTTATTATATAAATGACATAAATTATTATATTTTATTTTAACCTTCAATTAAATATAAGTTTTGGCCAATTAATTATATAGGAAATTTAATATATTAGGTTAGGTTAGGTTAGGTTAGGAGAGGTTAGGGGTTTGGTTAATGTGGTAAAGTCTAATTAATCTTCAGGTGAGCTAATATAATAAAGAAAAGATGATGAAAATACACAAAAAAATAATTAAATAGAAAATATAATAAAAAAAATTTAAATGGAATTAAATATTTAAGGTAACCCCTACACCATTTAAATTTTAGCCATAATTCAGGGTTACATAAACGAGAATATAAAGAAAATAATAATAAAAACTAATTATATTTCGGTTATATATATATACAATAATTAAAAATATAATTAAATAACATATAATTAAAGGATTATATATAAAAAATAATGAAAGAAAGAAATAATAATACATTTTCTCATCTATGTAACCTCCGATTTTAGCCATAATTCAGGGTTACATAAACGAGACTATAAAGAAAATAATAAAAACTAATTATATATCAGTTATATATTTATACTATAATTAAATATATAATTAAATAACATATAATTAAAAGATTATATATAAAAAATAATAAAAGAAAGAAATAATAATACATTTTCTCATCTATGTAACCTCCGATTTTAGCCATAATTCAGGGTTACATAAACGAGACTATAAAGAAAATAATAAAAACTAATTATATATCAGTTATATATTTATACTATAATTAAATATATAATTAAATAACATATAATTAAAAGATTATATATAAAAAATAATAAAAGAAAGAAATAATAATACATTTTCTCATCTATGTAACCTCTGAGGTCTATCAACAGGACGTGGCAGGTTAAGGAGGAATTTGAATATTTTTATAATTTTTACTAATTACTCGACACATAGTTGACCCTAAACGAGGTGATTAATCAAGAAGGTTGTTTATATATCGGTCCATGTTTTAGAGGTGATTTGAGGTTAAATTACACGAAGGAAATAGATAAATTTGAATAAGAAGACAACAGCTCCTCCATCATGTAAGAGAATTGGTTTTTTAAGCTTTTGTTTTTTGAGCTTATTTGGGTTTTTTAAGCTTAGTTTATTTGTGGTTTTGGGTTTTTTTAGCTTGATTTGTACCAGTTTTAAGGGTTTGTTGATAAATATTGCTCCAGCTTAGTAAGAGGGATATCTAAGCTTTGGGTTTTTTAAGCTTGTTTGTTTTTCCTAATTTGGTTTATTTGTAGTTTTGTGGGGTTTTTTAAGCTTGATTTGTTCTAGGGTTAAGGATTTTTATTTGTTCCAGCTTAGTAAGAGTTATGTAAGGCATTTTAAAGATTATATTTTTTCCCAGCTTAATTTATTTGTATTGTATTTTTCAGCTTAATTTGTCTCAGTTTTAAGGATTTATAGATTAATATTGTTTCAGCTTATATAGGTAGGAAGTAAGATATCTTCAAGCTTTGTTTTTTGGCAGTGGATATTTTACCGTGAAGCTTTCCAGCGTTCCAGCACTTACTACAAAGTTGCTAAGCTTGTTCCACTCATCCACCACCCTATCCAGCCTCCTTTTAAAGCTTTCCAGCGTTCCAGCACTTACTACAAAGTTGCTAAGCTTGTTCCACTCGTCCACCACCCTATCTAGCCTCCTTTTAAAGCTTTCCAGCGTTCCAGCACTTACTACAAAGTTGCTAAGCTTGTTCCACTCGTCCACCACCCTATCCAGCCTCCTTTTAAAGCTTTCCAGCGTTCCAGCACTTACTACAAAGTTGCTAAGCTTGTTCCACTCGTCCACCACCCTATCTAGCCTCCTTTTAAAGCTTTCCAGCGTTCCAGCACTTACTACAAAGTTGCTAAAGCTTAATTCCACTCGTCCACCAATATCTAGCCTCCTTTTAGCTTTCTAGCGTTCCAGCACTTACTACAAAGTTGCTAAGCTTGTTCCACTCGTCCACCACCCTATCTAGCCTCCTTTTAAAGCTTTCCAGCGTTCCAGCACTTACTACAAAGTTGCTAAGCTTGTTCCACTCGTCCACCACCCTATCCAGCCTCCTTTTAAAACTTTCCAGCGTTCCAGCACTTACTACAAAGTTGCTAAGCTTGTTCCACTCGTCCACCACCCTATCTAGCCTCGAAGACTTTCCTAAAAAGCTTGAGCAGATTTGTTAGACAAGATTTTCCCTTCGTAAACCCTTGTTGAGAGTCGTAGATTAATTTGTTTTTCTCTAGATGCGATCGGATGTTATTTGCTATAATTGATTAAAGAAATTTCCCCACTACTGACGTCTAACTGATCGGCCGGTAATTTGACGCATTTCCCCACTACTGACGTCAAACTGATCGGCCGGTAGTTTGACGCATTTCCCCACTACTGACGTCTAACTGATCGGCCGGTAATTTGACGCATTTCCCCACTACTGACGTCAAACTGATCTACTGACGTCAAACTGATCGCCGTAATTTGACGATTTCCCACTACTGACGTCAAAACTGATCGCCGCACGGACGATTTCACTACTGACGTTTAACTGATCGCCGTAATCGGACGATTTCACCATTGACGCCAAACTGATCGGCCGGTAATTTGACGATTTCACTACTGACGCCTCTAACTGATCGCCGGTAATTTGACGATTTACCACGATCGCCAAACTGATCGGCCGCAATTTGACGATTTCACTACTGACGCCAAACTGATTGGCCGGTATTGACGATTTCACTAACATTAAACTGATCGGCCGGGTACTTGACGATTTACGACGCCTAACTGATCGGCCGGTAATTTGACGATTTCACCATTGATTAAACTGATCGGCCGGTAATTTGACGCATTTCCCCACTACTGACGTCAAACTGATCGGCCGGTAGTTTGACGCTGATGCTCTATCTCCCTTTTTTGAATATGGGTACTAGTGCTATTTTGCCGTGAGTGCGTTCTGATTGGCTAATTGTCCAGCTAATGTGAGAAATATATTTGACCGTGACTGGCGGTAATTGGAATTTATTTAGCCGTGAGTCGATCGTTGTGTAGCTGTGAACCTAACCTAACCAAAATTAACCTAACCTAAATTAACCTAATCTAACCAGATTTCTTTTGTGCATGGAAATTTATCATTATAAAGGTGACATTTACTGGAACCTAACCTAACCAGCCAAAGAAACCTAACCTAACCTCCTAGCTCCCCTCCGTCATATTAAACAGAGAGTACTTAGCCAATCAGAGCTCACTCATGGTAAAATAGCGTCAGTAAGAACTTAGCCGGTCGCAGCAAAATATTTCCAGGTAACCAGACGACTCCCTCAAAGTCGGAAAAAATCCCTCATCACCGGAATTTTCCAGAAGTTTTCGGGTAACGGAAAAATGTTCTCGGAAGTTCCAGAAATTGCCCATTACATCGTCTCTCAAACCCGGAAGAATACCCCCCCCCCCCTCCTCGGAGTTTTCCGGGGTATCGGTAAAATTTTCTCCGAAGTTCCCGGAAAATCCGCCCCTCGGAAAATTTCAATTCCGGCTAGTGGAGAGTTCCGGGTTTGAGGGATTCTGGGTAACGGAGATACTACTGTGTTTTCCCAATTCAATTTATCTGTAGTTTATTTTAATTAATGTATTAGGTTTGGTTAGGTTAGATTAGGTTAGGTTAGGTTAGGTTAGATTAGATTAGATTAGATTAGTTTAGGTTAGGTTAGGTTAGGTTAGGTTAGGTTTGGTTAGATTAGGTTTGGTTAGATTAGGTTTGGTTAAAGCACACACACATACACATCAACTAATTCTCTATTATATTACAGGAATCAAGTTAAGAAAGACACGATCCAATCCTCAGCATTCACCATTGGGTCTTGGGTCGCCTTCAAGTTAGTGGACTATAATCCACCCGGCCCCCTGTCACCCGGCACTATTAAGAGGTGGGTGGGTGTGTGTGAGTGGACTGGGTGTGTGTGGATGTGGGGTGTGTGTGGGTGTATGTGGACTGTGTGGGTACTTTATATATAATACTGGATAAAAGTTTCAGTTCAAATAAGAAATAAAACCTACAATTCCAATTTTAATAATTTTTTTACTCTGATGACGAATTCTCACTTTTTCGCCATTCACAAATTTACAATTTTTGCCAACGTGGACGGATTAAAATCGGTGTTTTGTATTATTTTACACCAATGACAAATTCTTCCTTACTTACCTTTCACGATTTGACGATTTTCAGCAACATGGATGTATTCAACGACAAGTACAAAGTGGCCGTTAAGCTGGTGCCGAGTAACGAGCTTATATTGTGGGAACTCAGCTTAGAGGAGAAGAAGGGCCGTAGGTCGAGAAAAAGTAGCGGTGCTCGATCGGCCAAAGAGGAGACCAGGATAATAAAGTGTAAGGTATGTGTGTTATATTAATTTGTTTTAACGTAATATAATCAAATCTAACCTGACCTAACCATCACCTAACTCTAACCTAACCTAACCCTACCCTAACACTCCTCTCCGATATAAAAAACAACACCGTCGAACCTTACTCACCGTTCACTTGACCCATTCAATATCTCCCTTCCAGTATGGGGTCTATACACATATGCCAAATAAAGTACCAGAATTTGTTACTTAAGTGAAAGTTTGTAAAGTAGTGGTAAAAGTATCCAAGTTTATGAATCAATTTTGTTGACTAATAAATCTATTGATCTTCATTTGTATTGACTAAAGTATTTAAAAATTTGAGTATTTTAAATGTAAATACTCAAAAATGTTACTTGAGTACAGTAAAGTCTCGGATAATGGCGAAATGTGGCCTCCAGTATGGGGTGAATTATTATTACCATTAAAAAGAAGGAATATAATGACGTGTGTTTCCAAGTGTGACCTTTTTTCATATCTTTTGTGTGGTTTTTTACTTTTTTTCCCTAAAATAATACACAATTAATGAAAAGTCAAACTATATTCTTTAAATAATGTTTTGAATGGAACTTACACAATATAAATTAATAATATGGCTACACAAGAGGAGATGGACGCCATTGTTTTCAGTAGTAGTATGTGACTGGATGATGGTTCTACATAAGAAACTGAAGAAAATATGACCATGGTTAGCTGTAGTAAAATTAATGTAAAAATAGAATATATATGTATTAAGTGATAATTTAATGTTAATAAATGGAACACTAGAAGTAACTAACCACTAATGGTAAAGAAATAAGTAGACGACTGGGAACGCCAACGCATGAACAGTAAGTGCGCATAGTGAAAACATATCGCCATTTCTAATAAGACTGTGACAGCAACACTTATTTACTGTTCATATATGTTTTAAATAATATTACGAATGAAAACAAAAATTTACTGACCAATAGCGTAAAGTCTAAACATATGACAGCCAATGATGATGTGTCATCAGGTTCAATTCTGGCTGGAAGCTTAACCTGAAGTTGTTCATGAAACTGGTGATGGTGAAGGAAGGATGGTTTAGGGCCTTTAAAGCTGTATAAAGAACCTCACACATGCTTTTTTCTCATTACACATCTTTATGTAGAGATTATATGCATTTTTCTATGTCCCTGTTAATTTTAATGCTTTATTCTGTTAATGGATCCACTTCAGAAAATATGTTCATTGTTTGCTCCATACAATATCCACAGACTCTCACCTTTTCATATCGCTTAACACGCCTAGTTTCTCGCTGCTTATACACTTTCTATTAGCCTTGAAACAACACTACCATCACTTGCTTACGAGAACAGGACACAAAAATGCTGTGAGAACCCAACAAAGTCTCTCCCTTTTTACTGCTCAGACGCCATTAAAATACGGAGAAAATAACGCCTAAATTGAATTGATCCTAAATTAACCAGGGTCTTGAAATATGAACGATCAGCTAGAACCATCATTAACGGAGGCTTTCCGTACAGTACTCGAGTAACGCTATTTTGTCACTTATAACTTTGGGTCAATAACAATCAGACCCTAGTACTCACCATCACCATCTTCTTCCAGTATGGGGTGTCTGACGATGAGGGTCTACTCTTCAAAAGATCCATCCCGATGGACTCTGAGGGTCATGAGATTGCCCTCTATTGCTCTGAGTTAATGGCCTCAGTATGACGCACAGCAATCCATTCAATCTAATGCTTCACAAGCAATCTAAAAAACAGTCTCCTGATTGCTCAATTCTACAGGTAACGACTTGTGCTGTTTGGCTTGTTGAGTGTCGGGTACAGTCCTACTAGCCCAGGTACAGTGCCACTAGCTACAGGTACTGTCCCACTAGCCCAGGTGTGTCATAGCCAGGTACAGTCCCACTAGCTACGGCAGTCACTGCCTGGTACGTCCCACTAGCAGGTATGTCACTAGCCGGCACAGGTCATAGCCAGGTACAGTCCCACTAGCTACAGGTACTGTCCCAATTAGCCCAGGTACAGTGTCATAGCCTGGTAAGTCCCACTAGGCCACAGGCAGTCCATAGCCGGTAGTCCCAATTAGCTCAGGTACTGTCCCACCTGGCCCAGGTACAGTGTCACTAGCTACAGGTACAGTCCCACTATTACAGGTACTGTCCCACTAGCCCAGGTACAGTGTCAATTAGCCCAGGTACAGTCCCACTAGCTACAGGACAGTCCCAATAGCCCAGGTACAGTCCCACTAGCTACAGGTACTGTCCAACTAGCCAGGACAGTGTCATGCCCAGGTTGTCCCATTAGTCGGTACTGTCCCACTAGCCCAGGTACAGTCCCAATTAGCTACAGGTACAGTCCCACTAGCTGCGGTATCCACTAGCCCAGGTACAGTGCAATTAGCTCAGGTAGTCCAATTAGCTACAGGTACTGTCCCACAGCCAGGTAAGTCCTTGAAGGTAAAGTCCCACAGCTCATGGTGTCAATTAGCAACAGATATATATACTATCTAAAGATCCCTTCCTAACGATCCTCCTCTAACGATCCCTCACTCTAACGACCCCCTCACTGTTACAGTGCCACCAATCTGAAACCAACGCAATAGACAAACTCCAGGACCTGGCTCCGATGACAAGACGATGTGCAGACAGATTCACCCCGGAGCCTCATCCACCAGAAACTAGGCGCTTATAACGACCAGATCCCGGCACTTAAGAGAGTTCGCTTACCATCGGGAACGTCCCTGTCAAGTCAAAGGTCGGTAGAGGATTTTATGACGTTTGTTTGTTTTACGGGTTTTTTCGTTTGTTTGTGGTGATTTTTGTCGTTTGGTTTGGGATTTTCTCGATTGATTTTTTTTTGGATTTTCTTGTGTAATTTATTGATTGATTTTTTTTTTATCTTGTTTGAGTTTGATTGATTGTGTTTGTTTGTTTTAAAATTTTTACGGTTGTTTTTGGTGTTTGTGGTGATTTTCTTGAGTTTTTTCGGTTGATTGTTCTTGTTTGAGTTAAATTTATGCTGATTTTCCTTGCTTGTTTTGAATCTATATTTGATTTTTATTTGTTTGAGTTGATTTTGTCTTGATTTTTCTTGTATATATGACCTATGACACACCCTGTACAGTATATATGACCTATGACACACCCTGTACAGTATATATGACCTATGACACACCCTGTACAGTATATATGACTCATGACACACCCTGTACAGTATATATGACCTATGACACACCCTGTACAGTATATATATATGACCTATGACACACCCTGTACAGTATATATGACCTATGACACACCCTGTACAGTATATATGACCTATGACACACCCTGTACAGTATATATGACCTATGACACACCCTGTACAGTATATATAGACCTATGACACACCCTGTACAGTATATATGACCTATGACACACCCCTGTACAGTATATATGACCTATGACACACCCTGTACAGTATATATGACCTATGACACACACCTCTGTACAGTATATATGACCTATGACACACCCTGTACAGTATATATGACCCATGACACACCCTGTACAGTATATATGACCTATGACACCCTGTACAGTATATATGACCTATGACACACCCTGTACAGTATATATGACCTATGACACACCCTTGTACAGTATATATATGACCTATGACACACCCTGTACAGTATATATACCATGACACACCCAGTTATATATGACCCATGACACACCCTGTACAGTATATATGACCTATGACACACCCTGTACAGTATATATGACCTATGACACACCCTGTACAGTATATATATGACCTATGACACACCCTGTACAGTATATATGACCTATGACACACCCTGTACAGTATATATATGACCTATGACACCCCTGTACAGTATATATGACCTATGACACACCCTGTACAGTATATATGACCTATGCCACACCCTGTACAGTATATATGACCTATGACACACCCTGTACAGTATATATGACCATGACACACCCTGTACAGTATATATGACCAGACACCCCTGTACAGTATATATGACCTATGACACACCCTGTACAGTATATATGACCTATGACAACACCTCGTATAGTATATATGACCTATGACACACCCTGTACAGTATATATATGACCTATGACACACCCTGTACAGTATATATATGACCTATGACACACCCTGTACAGTATATATATGACCTATGACACACCCCTGTACAGTATATATGACCTATGACAACACCCTACAGTATATATGACCTATGACACACCCTGTACAGTATATATGACCCAGACACACCCTGTACAGTATATATGACCTATGACACACCCTGTACAGTATATAATCTATGACACACCCTGTACAGTATATATGACCTATGACACACCCTGTACAGTATATGACCCATGACACACCCTGTACAGTATATATGACCTATGACACACCCTGTACAGTATATATGACCTATGACACACCCTGTACAGTATATATGACCTATGACACACCCTGTACAGTATATATGACCTATGACACACCCTGTACAGTATATATATTGACCTATGACACACCCTGTACAGTATATATTGACCTATGACACACCCTGTACAGTATATATGACCTATGACACACCCTGTACAGTATATATGACCTATGACACACCCTGTACAGTATATATGACCTATGACACACCCTGTACAGTATATATGACCTATGACACACCCTGTACAGTATATATGACCTATGCCAACCCCCATGAATTTGAGTTCTCTTGCATATAGAAATAGTTAATTAAAATACAAAATTGGATTAAAATTAATTACATTTTTGACATTTTTAGGAGAATTTTATTTATTTTGGGTTAAATTGTAAAAAATAAAATAATTAATTGGAATAATATTAACTAGAAGTTTGTGTATTTGTTATAAACTGTAAATTATTTTTATTAATAGTGATTCATTGTTAAACCTGGATATAACGGACTTTCCTCGATAAAGTTCGTTAAGTAGAGGTCACATATCTAACAGAACCTGGATATAACGGACTTTCCTTATAAAGTTCGTTAAATAGAGGTTTCGATTCAATGGGACCTCGGTAATCTAACTCTCTCTGACCTTATAGTCCACTAAATAGAGGTTTTACATCTAACGGGACCTCGATATAACGAACTCTCCTGACCTTATAGTCCACTTAAAGAGGTTTTACATCTAACGGACCATATAACGAACTCTCCTGACCTTATAGTCCACTAAATAGAGGTTTTACATCTAACGGGACCTTGATATAATGAACTTTTCTCTTCAAACAGCCCATTTAAACAGAGATTTAATTACATAAACCGATAAATAATAATAATAGCGACAATGATCTTTAATTGCTCGTTTCAGATGGCCAAACTAAAGGGCTTCCGATTAACCGAGGTGGAGACGGAGGTACGGGCACCCTCCGTGTTCCACCTGCTAAGGAACTAGGAGACCTGCAAATAATTAATGACGTTCCACCTTGGCTAGAGAAGATGAGAGCCAGTGGGAAGACTTTCTGTTCCGCCAAATATCAATGATTCTAAACTGGAATGTTCTGAATCTTTATTCCCATTCTCAAGATTTTAATTTGTAAGGAATTTAGGAGCTGAGAATTGTAATATATATATATCTGACGCTACAATCAGTTGGGATTAATTTGAGGTGTTGCTCAAGTATTCAATTTTTGCTTTTGTCGCTTTTAGATAGAATTTTAGTTAGAATTTTTTTTTTTTTTTTTCATGACGAAGTTTTGACCTGACCTGACCTGGACCTATTTGTTAATTTAGGTTAGGTTAGGATCTTACAGAATATAGCACGTTACATTCAATTAGCTTTAGTTAAATTAGGAATGACTATTGGTACAGGGTGTGTCATAGGTCATATATACTGTACAGGGTGTCATAGGTCATATATACTGTACAGGGTGTGTCATAGGTCATATATACTGTGACAGGGTGTGTATAGGTCATATATACTGTACAGGGTGTGTCATAGGTCATATATACTGTACAGGGTGTGTCATATAGGTCATATATATGTAAGGTGTGTCATAGGTCATATATATACTGTACAGGGTGTGTCATAGGTCATATATACTGTACAGGGTGTGTCATAGGTCATATATACTGTACAGGGTGTGTCATAGGTCATATATACTGTACAGGGTGTGTCATAGGTCATATATACTGTACAGGGTGTCATAGGTCATATATACTGTACAGGTGTGTCATATATTATATACTGCATGTGTCATAGGTCATTATATACTGTACAGGGTGTGTCATAGGTCATTATATACTGTACAGGGTGTGTCATAGGTCATATATACTGTACAAGGTGTGTCATAGGTCATATATACAGGGTGTAGGTGTGTCATAGGGTCATATATACTGTACAGGGTGTGTCATAGGTCATATATACTGTACAGGGTGTGTCATAGGTCATATATACTGTTCAGGTGTGTCATAGGTCATATATACTGTACAGGATGTGTCATAGGTCATATATACTGTACAGGGTGTGTCATAAGTCATATATACTGTACAGGATGTGTCATAGGTCATATAAAATGTACAGGGTGTGTCATAGGTCATATATACTGTACAGGGTGTGCATAGGGTCATATATACTGTACAGGGTGTCATAGGTCATATATACTGTACAGGGTGTGTCATAGGTCATACTGTACAGGGTG